CTCAGGGTTCTTCAATTGCGATTGTAGAACTGTGTTGTTCGGAACATTCGAACTTGAGAAAGGTCTGTGAAGTTTCGAAGGTCCCATACATTGGTGTAGTTGCTAAGGTGCAGAGTTCTGGAACGTTGAGTCGTGTAGCAGTTTGCATTCGTCAGTGGAAGAATTCGTCATGTCCACCTTGGGTGCATATTCATGCATCGACTCCTTGTGGAAGTGGAAGCCCACTTCGCAATTTCAATCCGGACTCAGTCACTGAAAAGGACCAGGAAGGGGATGAGATCATCAACGCGATTGGTGGTTACTTCAAACATGCAGACTCATGTTCGTTTGAGCTTCCAGAACGAAATACCATTTGGTCCCGACCTGAGACAGTGAATCTTTTGGAGAGTTTTGACATGAGGCATGAGGCTTTGGTGAAGTTGTGCAAGACTGGATGTCAGAACAAGGATGGTATTCCGATTGGAAAGACATTGAAGTTTGTTTCCAATTCAGCCTGGTTTGCATTAAATCTCCACTCTAAACTTTCTACATGCACATGTCAGACTCATGCAGAACTTTATCAAATCAACTATTCTGAAACAGCGTTTTACAACCGAAAGTTGGCAAGATACATTTTGATTGCACTCAAACATGCTTCGAAGAAGAATTGAATTTGCGTTTGAAAGGGGGCCCTGTGACAGAGAGAGAAACAGAAGTTGACGTCACGTTTCATTTTCTGTTTGCACGTTGTTTTTCAAACAAACGTTGCCAAAGACAAACAGAAGTTTTCACCATGTTTCATTTTGTGCAGAGTTTTGTTGCGCGATACTGTGAGATACAGTGTGTGTGCGCAGTGCAGAACAATCTGAAAGGTCACTGATCCTATCACGACTGTGATGGCGGTTCGACACTTCGTTTCACGTTCTAGGTTGATTGCTCCTAAGAGTTTAGCCACGGTCTAGTGCTTTTTCACTACCGGACGCGGTTTGGTTTGTAGCCATGGCCAAGTCTGGATGGACGGATGAAGATGAGAAGGCTTTGCTTGGTCTTCTTCAGAAGAAGTGGCACAGTGAGAATTCAGGGTCAGGCTATGCAGCCGGATCCAGTATTTTGACTCCTTTGGAGAGTCAAGGAGCAATGACAGATGGAAGCAAGCGACTTCGTGAGGCTCTGGATGATGATGAATTCGATGTGATTTCTTCGGCAGCTGAACCTTTGAGTGCACAGTTGCCTGTGATGCCTATCCCAATCTTTCCTGGGATCGCCGACAAGGTCCTTGATCAGCTTACTGCTGATTTGGTGCCTGAAGGCATGAGTTTTCGAGATTGGAGCAGAACGAAGTTTGCGTTTGGAAAGTTTGCCAATGAGGGCAAAACATACCGAGAGGTATATGTCGATGATGAGATGGCCGGATATTGCAAATGGAGTATGTGTCACCTGGGAAACAAGAGTACAAGTCCAATTGCAAAGGATTGGTATTCTTTTCTCTGCGCATGCAAGATTGTGGAGGACTCTGGAAAGGTTGGAAAGCCAAAGGGTTGCTTCACTGGAACTTCAGTGCAGAGGCAGCTGGGTGATTGAGAGTATCCTCATTGGTGCAAAGGCGAGGAAAAGACTATGAGCTGGTTGTTCATTGGATGGTGGACAACGGGACAATTCGTACTATATGTATTGGCCTGTCGAGCTTGAGCGATATGTGCTGAAGTCAGGATGGGTTACAGTGTATACCTATGGAATGGAGTTCATCTCAAAAGGGGGTGTGAAAATTGTGTGACATCTGTGGTGAGATGAATCCATTTGGTATTTTCTGTATTGGAAGAAGTGAATTTGGTTTTCATCTTGATGGTGAGCTCAACCGTGATGGTTGACATCGTATTTGCACGTTTCATGTTCTGCACGTTTTATTGGAGATGACGAAACCCAACAACGATATACTTTTCGTCTTCTTTGAGTACTTTGATTGCACGGAGAACATCGTGAGGATTTGAATTTGTATAGTGACATGGAAAATCAAACCATTTTCCATATGTTTTGCTTTAGTTTTGCCGGCAGAATGATCGCAGAAGTGCACGAAGGAATCGTGAGAAGATCGTAGAATTCATTTTGTGACTTCGGAAGAAGGAACTTTGTTTGACATTGATCGGAGAAGTGTAGTGTGTTTTGTCTCTCAATGATGATAGCGAGAGCAACGTTCTGAAAGGCATTCAGAACTGGAGTTGCTAACAGATCTGAGGGAGACATCATGAATCATGTTTTGGTGCTTGAAATGTTTCAACGTTTTTCAAACACTCAAACTTATTTAAACCAACAAACCATGTCTTGATGTAAAGACTTTTTGTGAGGACATGTGTTTTTGATCGCTTTTGTGAGAGTTAGCAGAAAGATGCTGACTGGCGACTCCGCATCATTTTGTGTCAAGGCGTGACACACCAACAAGAACCATAGCGACATGAGCAAGACATCTCCTTGTTGCTTGTGTGTGTAAAAGTGGCTGAGCTCTGGGAGTAGTTGACTTGGTTGCGTGGACGGTCTTAGTGAGTTAAGGACGACGTCCTGGACGCTGACCCAAGTAGAGGTTTCGAAGGCCTGTAGCCTTCCGCAATGGCTGCCCTTCTTGAAAAAGCATTCCGCAGTTCCAGTCCACCTCAATTTTGTTTATGGGGAGGGCGCATTTCGGCATTTTCATGTCACAAATTCATTTCACTTACATGTCATGTGTTGTTTGCTTCACCTCTGAGGTTTGTATTTTTCAAAAATAGGAGTATCTCAGTTTGGCAGTCATGTGACGGCACAATTCAAGGACATGTCCTAAACATTCATTCTCGTTTTCCTTTCACAGCCGGTTCAAACCCGGAAACATACCCTAGTGGCACGTGCCATCGCTCTCGAGTGAGACGGTGTGGGTCCCGGCAAGTGCAAGTGCACGACGATTTACAGAAACAAGACCTATAACTTGTGGAAGTTTTGTCAAACCTCAGTCTCCAATTTTCGAGGAAAACTCGTGAGGTGCCATGTCCTCAGACTCTCATGTGCATTTTTGATGTTTTTCAAAGGTATAAGACTTTCTTCACATTCGTTTGGGTTTCATTCTATTTTGTTAGTGGCTATGCTCCAGGTGGACCTTTCGCGATCTACAATTTCGAGCCTTCACATCCAACAGCACAGGTGGGGAGTCCGGAGTCGAGTGACTCTTGGGGACAGTGCTTTCTGCCGAGTGGCATGCACTTCTGTCCATGAGGGTTCACACATGTGTTAACAGTGCAAGTGCACGCCCAGGTGACCGACAATCAAGGCCTTTACACTTGATGTAACAAATACTTCAATTTATCTTTACTTTGTGTGGTTTCCTGAACCTGGTTTGAACTGTGAGTTTCAGTCCTTGTGGCTTCAATGCCCACAGCGAAGGTGCTCCATCCTTCCCGGGCAATTTTGGGGCTGCCATCACGCTGAGTGCGCGACAGGTGAGGCCGATGGGGCAGTTGTTTCATGTGAAGCATACCCACACCTCCCATCTGTCATGTGACAGACACAACAGCCGATGTGGCATGAGTTGTGATATTTGAATGTTTCTGCGAGTGCAGAAGCTGCAGCTTTTGGGAGGGCAAGAATACGACATCCCTGGACTCCTGGACAGCCTTCGTTCAAGAGGCGACCCACCATGTGTGATGGCTCTTGAAATTTATTGGAAATTTTACTTGACTGATATCTCCTGCTCCCTTCAAGTAGTCTTTAATTTGTGTGCAGAAATGTTCAACTCGATAGGCCCCATCACTATAGAGGCGCGTTGAAACCCTGTGGAATTGCAGAGTGCTGCATTTTTGATCCGTCGTTGCGAACAGTGCTTTTTGAAGCCATCATGCATAGAAAACATGGCAGGAATCACAATGAGCCAACGAGGGCGTGCCAGCGTGTCAACGGCGGAGTTGGACTCAACAGAGGTCCCTGTGAGTAGAGACCAAGGAACATTGGCAGTCAAGCTTGGCCACCTGATCATTGATGATCCAGACATGAGAGTTCATATAACCGCCACTGCTGCTATGCTCCTTGAGTTGATTAGGATTGTGGGCACACCGGCTTATATGTTAATATTTTTGCAGTTCCTTCGAGAAGTGGACTTGGCACGCGCCTGGTTGGGAGCCAAGATGGAAGGTCACCCCCATGATTTCATGAACCAAGTGCCGCTCCGCAAACAAGGATCATACAGATCCCTTGACTTTGGAAACGTCAGGGCTGTCATGTCAAACGAATTTTTGGAAAAATGTAATTCTTTCTATACCCTCCTTGCAAAGCTCCAGAACAGCTGCACGGGGGAAAAGGATGACCAATTATTTAGATTTCTTTGCGAAGTACAAGTCCCTTTGGACTTGTTGATAGTTTGTGTCCGCCGACACCCGCCTGAGAGCTGCTGGAGCGAAGAAAGGCACAGATCATACCAGCTTGTTTTGAATAGCATGAAGCGTTTTTCCGAACCTAGTGACTCCAGCCAGGAGAAAAATTGTGAGTGCAACTTGTAGGATGGAGGCTCAATGACGGACGGCGAAAACCAAGATCTCGAGCCCGGGTCAACGCTACCCGTCCCTGCCGCGTGTGATGGCCATAGTCCGGACTCTGAAGTGAACAGTCAGAACCCAATTGAGAACGATGTCAATGAGGGCGAGGATTGGTTTGCTGTGGGCGACGGCGTAGATGGTTCAACGCTTGAATGCCCACCTGAACATCAAGATCAACAGGAATTGCACGATCTGGATGATGATGGTAAGCGTCACGGACAATTTACAGCTGCAACTGCCTCTTCCATGGACCAAGCAGTTCCCGGACACGAACGAGCCCTCAATGAGACTGAATCGAAGATACTTGACTCGATGGTAAACCAAGCGATACTCAGTGCGAGCTTAAACGATGGTTTAGAACTCCCTTGGGAAAAGGGCATCATGGCTTGCATCTTTGGTGATGAACCACTGGCTGCAGTACCAAAGATCCCAGCCATAGCACATAGCATGGATGATCGCAAAACTGACCAGGCACAAAGTGTGGGCGGGAGTCTTGAACCACATGCAAAGCGGCAAAGAACATGCAACACCACCCTCCGGCTTTATGAGAGAGCTATCCGCTTCAAGAACAATTTGACTGATCACGAAGCTGATGAGGCGAAATGGAACCGGGCCATCGAAAAGCTGTATGCAGTAATACTCTCCAGCCCGGGAGTGGTCCCAGATGGAGTCAGATTTCAGGAAGGGCACATGGACCTCAACTTCAGACAGTCAGACAGCTCAGAACTCTTTGCGGGTCAAGAAGTCCAAATACAGTAGCCAAGAGGGTGAATAGCCTCACAAAATACTGTGTGTGGCACAAAGGCTTTTTCTACAGGAAATATCCCTTTCCATTAGATTCGGAAGATGTTGCCGAATACATTTGGGAAAAACATCAAGATGGCATGCCGTACAGCGCAACGATGAGCTTTCTGGAATCGGCAAATTTCGCAGTGCATGTACTGGGATTACCACTGAAACGACCAGACGCACCTTTGGTCGCAGCATTCACCAAAGGCATCCTTGACACAGCTGCCAAAAAGCGCCCAGTGCGAAAACAGGCACGGCCCCTCCGAGTGGCTGAAGTTGTCCTCCTGGAAGAGATGCTGAGTAATGATGCTCTTGACATTTTCGACAGGTATGCCGCTGGTGCATTCTTGTCTGCATCTGGTCAGACCTGAGAAGTATCCATGGCTGTGAACTTGATGTGGATTTTTCAAACGATAAAATGGTAGGCTTCATCAGCTTCAGCACCTTCTCACACAAAACCTCTTCGCAGGTGGCAAGACACGGTCTTCCAATGCCTCTGATTGCACCAATTTGGGGCCTGCGGAATCCTCCATGGGCGATGTCTTGGAAGAATGCCGAGGCAGTGTCCCTGGACTTTGCCAACTTTGTCCGCGGGGCCGTCCTGCATCTCCCCAATAGGGAGGGAAAATGGAGCCAACGGAGCGTCACCTCTGACGAGGCATCACGATGGTTGGTTGAGCTCCTCAAGCCGCACTCAGGCGACCTGGAGGATGTGTCCTCACATAGCTTAAAGGCAACGACTTTGTCGTGGCTCGCGAAAGCGGGGTGCGATCCACATCACCGTACAATTCTTGGACATCACTCTTCTGGGAAGGGATCTTTGGAGGTGTACTCCAGAGACATGCTTTCTGCGCCCTTGCGCACCCTGGAAGATATGTTGCGGCAAATCCGCATTGGAGCACTGCACCCTGACTTGACAAGATCCGGCCATATACAGCAGCCGTCAAAACCAGACTGCAAAGATGCTCCAGTCGAAGCAGAAGTTGAACAATCGGAAAAGGGGCCAGAGAGCTCCAGCTCCTCCAGCAGCTCCTCGACCAGCTCAACCTCAGATGAAGACGAAAACGATGAAGAATAATGGCTTTCCCTTGGAGGTGCCGATCCGAACGTGCACCACTCAACATGGGAGAACTTCAACATGTACCAGCACGAAGCCAGTAAGATTGTGCATGTGGAAGCCGACAGCGAAGCCTGTACGTTCAAGTGTGGAATGAAGGCCACAGCCGAGCACAAGCTGATCATGAGCACAGCCTTCCTGGACATCCGCAAGTGCAAGCGGTGTGTGAGAGTTATAGAAAGCTCAGATTAATCGCCGCAGTCTCCGACAAAAAATTTCCTTTTGCCACTTGTAAATGCATTTGTGCCAGTGTAAAATTTAATAATTGCTGTGCCAACCATAAGGAAGATGCATGAAAGTCAAGCCTTGCCTGCAGCTGCTTGCAAACGTTCGCAGCTCATGATGTTTGAAATTGCAAGACAGAAACAAAAACACTACGACCATGGAGCACATGTGCATTTTCAACACGATGCATGAGTCGGATTTTTCTCTTTTTGACAGATAAAATAACTTGCTTCCTCAACCCTCCTGGCCATGGCCAACAATCAGCGTGAGGCAGCTTCCTTAGTGCATTCCACGGCCGCACTTAAGGATCGAGCCGCAAAGGCAGGGTTGAGTCCAGATGAAGTGGATGCCATCATCACGAGCAACGTAAGTTCAATGGCCCAGATGGCCTTTGCCATCTCGCCACCAGGAACAGCACCTTCTGAACAGGAGGTACGCGACTTTTTCCGCAACAAGGTGCCAGTGAACCTGGGCACGATCACCTCAACAAAACTTTTGGTCTTCGAGTGCCATACTCTAGTCGTGGCCAACATCAAGGCGGAAGTGAACAAGAAGGACGATTTATCCAGCCAAAGCTCCTTGCCAACAGCCGAACGAGACAGACGTATCGCAGACCAGCGCCAACGCCTAGCCGGCCTGCGGCTGAAGGGAGACGAAGAGGTAGCACACTCTTCTTATGATTTGGCCTTCACAATGCAGGAAAAAGACACCATCACCTATTTGCACCCAGAAAAATTTGTGACCAGAAGAGCTGAATTGTTGCAGAAACGCCCATTGAAGCAGTTAGCTTTGGACCAGGATTCCCTGACAGTCAGGGAGAAACCAATCGACATGACACGCAGCACCCGCACCGAACTTGAGCTGGTGCAGGCTTTTAGGAGGAGGGCTTTGGCCTTTGATCTTGTGGGCCTCGCCACTTACGAGTTGATGAACTCGTATCATGCAGAGCTGTTGAGCCATATGCAGGAAGACCCACCACCAGGGTACACACAGGTCTCAGTGACCCAAATTCTCAGAGCGGATCGTGCGGTTTTCCTCCATTTGGCCGAGAACCTCACAACCCTCAAACGCAATGTGGACGGCGACTTGCCTTTTGAGAAAGAGCTGATGATTGCCCTGGCGCGCCCAAATGTCAGTTTCCATTTATTGCCGCTGGCTGCCAGCGCACCTTCAAGACCAACCCCTAAGCCCAATGCCAACAATGCCAACAAGCGCAAGCATGAAGATCCGCCCAAGCCTGCCCCTGCACAGCCTAAGAGCAATGCACGAACCAAAGGCAAGGGCAAGGGGAAGACAAAGCGTAAGGGCCGAGGCCCGAATGTCCCCAAAGAGTTAGTTGGCAAAGCGCTGGAAACTGCAGAAGGGCGCCGTATCTGTTGGCCTTTCAACATGCAAAGTGGTTGCCAAGATGCGTCACCAGGGGGATACTGTCAGAGAGGAGCTCATGTTTGTGCTGAACCAGGCTGCGGCAAGCCACATAGCTTGCTCAGCCACAAGAACGCCTGAAGCCAGGCGACCATAGACCTTCCAAAAGCACCTGCATCTTTCGAAGCTAAGCTATCAGCCAAGTGCCAAGGGAGGACGTGTACAGATCTTTTTGCCATTGAAGTTTTCTCCGGCACCAGCCGGTTAACTGCCTCAATTAGACAGCTTGGTTTGAGAGATTCTTTTGGGATCGACCACGCCATTTCCAAGAGACTTGTCGCCCCGGTTGTACAGCTTGACCTGACGGATCCAGCAAATTTTTCCTTTTTGAAAGACATGATTCAAGAACCCGGTTGCGTGTACGTGCATTTTGCACCACCCTGCGGAACCGCGAGTCGGGCCAGATTTATCAAGAGAAAAGGTCGATATAACCCACCAGTTTTGAGAACAGACCTTAAACCAGATGGGCTTCCCCACCTGAGCTCTTTGCATGCCGCCAAAGTGGCTGCAGCCAACCTATTATACTAGCGTACCCAAGAGCTGTGCCGCTGGTGCGTCCAATGCGGAGTTCTCTTTTCAATCGAGAACCCTGCAAGAAGCTTTATGTGGAACACGTTTCATATGGCCCAATTCCTGCAGGATGTACCGCATCATGACACCTACTTTCATCACTGCATGTATGGCTCAGCTAGACGCAAGCACACACGTCTCACTCATAACATTCCTGCAGTGTGTCAAATGGAGTGTCGCTGTGACGACACACATGCCCATGAACCATGGGGCCATTCGGACACCGGTTGGGCCACTGCCGAAGAAACAGCATACCCTTGGCCATTGTGCAGGCGTTTGGCTACACTTGTGGCATTGGAATTACAAGAACATGGCCTACACTGCCCAACACCTACGTTTGCTACCCATGCTTCACAACTGGATGCAATCCGACAACAAACGGAGTTTCAACCAACGCTCAAAGGTTTACCATGGGTTAGTGAATTCAAAACAGTCATTCACCTTGATGCACACCAACCAGTGCCTCCAAACGCACGACTCATAGGCACTCCTGCAGTGGGGTACATCGCGAGTGCATCACAGAAGACAGTTGGAGTTCACAGATCGCCACAGGAATTCATTGAAGCTGCCCTGGAATCGAAACACCCGGGCTTTTTGGCTGATCAACTCCCGAGCCCAATGGTAGAAGCGGTGGAATTTTGCACAAAGCACACTGACGAGTTTGTTGCAACTTCAAGGTCCGAAACGCTCAGGGCCATGATGAGCGAGGCACAACACCTGGCTAAACGAGAGACGGAGCTCAAAGCGGGCATGTCTGACAGACGCCGAACAATCCTGTCAAAGAAACGCTTGCTGCTCTTCAAGTCCCTCCTGATGCAGTCCGGATCCCCCGACTTGAATCTAGTGGATGACATCGGATCGGGGTTCGACCTGACTGGGAAACTGCCATCCTCCAACCAATTTGATTCCAAGTTTCGTCCAGCTAGCATCCCTCCTGATGCCCTTAGAGGAGTTGCCGATCGAGCAAGAAAGGCCCTCCTGGAGAGTGTCAAAAGCTCAGGGGACGCCAAGTTGGATGCTGGAGTTTATGAGGCCACGATGAAAGAACTAGACAAGGGTTTCCTGAAAGGTCCAATCAATCCTAGCGACGTCCCAGCTGGCGGCACCTTGACGAGAAGGTTCGGCGTTCATCAGCGAGACAAAGTGCGCCCCATTGATGATTACAAAGCAAGCTTGGTGAACTCAGCAGTAACTCAAGTCGAAGTAGTGACACTCCACGGTGTGGACCACATAGCAGGTCTTGGTGCTGCCCTTCTCAAATCAATGTCAGGTTATGGAAGAACCGACAAGCTTGTAGGCAAATGTTGGGACTTAGCTGCATCATATAAACAAATTCCTCTATCAGACGAAGCCTATAGGATGGATGCGTACATCGTTGTCTTCAATCCACAGAAAGGTCGGCCAGAAGTTTCCAACAAGCTGTATTACCATTTGGGTCCGTAGCTTCCGTGACCGCTTTCCTGCGTTGTGCGATGGGGTTATGGACCATAGGCAGTAAGCTCTTGAAGTTGGCTTGGACCTCGTACTTCGATGACTTCCTCAGCCTGACGACATCTAGCTTGGCAAAACACACTGACCTTTGCATCTCAGCTTTCTTCCACCTGATGGGTTGGGATTTATCGACCGATAAGCTGGTGCCGTACTCAGAGTGCTGCAAAGTTTTAGGTGTCGAACTTGCCTTGCACAAAACCCCAGCTGGTAAATTTGAAGTGTGCAACACACAGTCCAGGGTGGAAGAGTTGACACGGACGATAGATGCAGTACTGACCGCTGGCTACCTAACCAGAACTGACGGAGAGAAACTGCGAGGTCGCTTGCAATTCGCTTCGAATCAACTCTTTGGGCGTCGTTTTAAGAACTGCCTCCAAGAGTTGAATTTACATGTGGCTCGAAACTTACGAATTGTGAACTCTGACCTCGCCTCAGCCTTGAGGCTCATTGTCCACCTGATGAATCAGAACTCACCAAGGGTAGTGTGCACAAGGCATAAAGAATGGTACCATCTGTATGTTGATGCATCTTTCGAGCCTGATGGTTTCTCTGGACTTGGTGGTCTGTTGCTGGACCCATACGGAGCGTGTTTAGGTTGCTTCAGTGAGGTCGTCGACCAATGCTTGCTTTTGGCTATTAAGAGGCCAGATCAGAAGACACCAATCATGGAACTTGAAGCCCTTGCCATTTTTGTTGGCATCCAGCTTTTCTCAGAAGCAGTGAAGGGCACCAGACTCGTGGTCTTCACAGACAACTTGAGTGCCCAAGCTTCGTTGGTCAAATGCAGATCCAACAACCTGCACGTCAGTATGATGTGCTGGGTTGAGAGGGTACCTAGCTATTCCAATCCAGCTGACGCGCTCTCAAGAGAAGAAACCCAGACATACCAAGGAACCAACCGTTCCAAAGTAAACCTTATGGATGCCTGGAAACTTTGTCAAGCAGAATCCAGCCCAAGTCTCCAACCTGGGGGAGGGCGCGAGACTAACCCAAAGATGCTGAATCCCATGTGTCAAAATAAGGGCGGTTGCTGAGTTGCTTGCATGCCTTGATTTTGTTTTGGAGCCATCACACATCAAGAAATAAGATGTAGCTCAAACTCGTTTGATCGAATATTATTTCTTGAGAAGGGATGGGAGTACTAATATATGTGAATATATGTATATACACATAGATATTAGTACGTCCAAAACAAAACGATGATTGATTTTGACATGTGTCGAAACTTCGTGAACGAATGCAGCGCTGCTCAAGTGAGCGCCCCATTTTCCATTCATTTCTTTCGTCCCAACCCAACTCACGTTTTTCCCACCCTCAAGTGGATTCACATGTCACGTGACATGTCCATGTCGAGTGACCTGGTTCTTTTGGCTTTAGCAAGTTTCACGTCTTACTTATGTCAACAATTCCTGACATCGCGTGATGTCAGAAAGCAGGTCATGTGACCCTTTCGTCTTTTATACTTGAAATTTCAGGTTTGCAAAACGGTTCCACTATGAACCCGCATTCATTTCTTTCCACCAGTTGCTTCCAACGTATGTATGTAAGTTGACCTGCATGTCCGCCTCGTTTCAGACCTTGCTGGCACCATACGAAGCTCTCATTGAATTTCGTACAAAGCTGACTCAATGTCGCCAATCATTGCAACTCCTTGCTGATTCTGTACCAGACATCTTACCAGACGCCAAGGAATGGATTGCTATGTCACTTGGGCTCTTAGACCGAATTGAGCCTCAACTCCGGCGAACTGAATATCAAATGCTCTGCATCTTGCAGTTACAACTCCATCATACGTTGGAGCAAATGGGACACTTGCCACCTATGGAATCAGACTGAAAGTCAAGTTCTTGTCTCCGCCGACCCGACCGTACGGGCGCGAGACTAACCCAAAGATGCTGAATCCCATGTGTCAAAATAAGGGCGGTTGCTGAGTTGCATGCATGCCTTGATTTTGTTTTGGAGCCATCACACATCAAGAAATAAGCGGCTGGAAACCTGCCTATCCCACATTCTGGATGCTGACGCAGAGCGAGCAAGGATGTTTGAACTGAATAGTGATGATGAGCTTCCATTGCATGGGTTGCCAAGGGACGCCAAGACCTACATGGTCCAATGTGCGAGCCAGAATTCTCGTTTGGTCTTTGGACTTTTGAAATGCGATAAATGGGAAGCTGCATGTGATCTACTGAGAAGCTTTGGAGAGGCTTTGTGCAAACCTGAGCCTGCACCCGCTTGTGATTCTCAAGGATCCGATGATGATGACAACATGAACGGAACTGGATGAACAGAAAATGATGGGCGTTTACACAACGTGGATAGTACTTTCTTGGAACTGTGACTTGAATTTATTTCATATACACATACATGAAATTTCCCAAAAATCCTAAACTGATGTATGGCAAATTCAAATGACAAAAGATCTGAGCGTTTGAGTTTAACCATGTCGAAGAAACATAGATCGATAAGTAAAAGCTGTCAAGTCATATGAGAAAAATCTTCTTGCATCAAACATGTGAAATTGGAGTGATTTTATGAATGACGTGATATTTGGCTTAAAGTCCTTCATCAGAGAAGGCAAGCAAGGCAACGGAGCCTCTCATGTTTCTATCCATGTTCACAACTGTTCAAACAAATGTACAACAGATGGTCTTGAACATGGTCATCAAAAAGTCAACTCCACTTTCAATCACCTTCAATTTGAAGATTTTTCTTAGCTGACATCCCGTCCAAGCCATGCGCAGAGCCGAAAGCGTGCCACCGGACCAGTTTGTGGAGGTCAACACGTTCTACTTGAATCAAGGCACCCAGTTGCCGCCGTTGGCTCCACAGGCGTATTTCACATACGCCAAGGACGAAAGCATCCATCAGGTTTTGGCGGACATCCACAATCACTTGGGAGTGGCCGCTGAACTTGAAGGTGTGGCACTTTGGATTCGGCCTCCACCACCACCCCCTATGCCAGGGGCTGCAATGGACTTGGACGCATCAGACTCGTCGGAAGATGATGAAGCCTCAGCCGACGGCGCGACAGCAGAGGCTGCGCCAGATACAGAAGATCCGGGTGCACCTGCTGTTCCACTTCATCCGGATGCTGGCCCACTTGATCCCCTTCAGGACCACTTGGTGTTACCGCCTGACCTGCAGACTCAGCTGCAAATTCAGCTGAACTGTGTCCTCGATCCAATCATCGCCTACTACGAGGACCAGGGCAGGACACCTGAGTTGGCCCTGAACGAGGCCAGGAGCAGGGCATGGGCTCATCTCCGTGATATGACGGAAATCAGCTTCCGTGATACAAAACGCAGTAGTGGAAGTTCTTCGTCTACGGGCCAAATTTGAGAGCTGCTTCATCATCGACCCCGACAACATTTCAGATGTTAGCGACAATTTTTGGATTCCACGTTTTTGGCCAATGGCTACGTGACTCATATCTGAGGCTCTGAGTGAAAAATATCGTTTTCACCACCTGTCAGTGCGTTAATGAACCAATGTTGCATTCATTTTCCTTTCAGGGTACCGACATGCCACATTACTCATACACACTCACACAACCCGATGTGTATGTGGCTTCAGTTTTTCCATGTCATACGGTCGGGCGCGTTGGGGCTCTCGATCCGGGGGAAATGCTGGAGCCTCAACACGACCCTAACCAGATTCTAGAAAGAGTCATCGACACCAGAGTCGTTGAACCAGATGCGTTTACAAATGTAGAGACACTAAACAAAAATCACTGACAATTCCCCCATTACCTGGACAGGTGAGAAATGAGGATGTGCGGACCTCAACTAAAGACATCTGAGTCATTTGGAACATTCCGCTCTTTTTTGATCAGTTGGCATCAGAGTCGACCGTGAGTGACATTGATTCACTTTGTCTTCATCACATGTTTGTGAAGGTGAGCTTGGAGTCAACAGAGGCAGGATCCAAGTAATCTCACTTACACGAAGACATCAGAGTCTTGTAAGTGCAATCATTCAGGATCATCCAGATCAACCTGGTTGTAGGTGGAGTCCAATCCAGTTGGGAGCGAAACGGCTGGAGAAGGGCAAGACTTCGCCCGAGAACCCGTCTGGCACCCAAGAACAGTGATCATCATCTGAGATGGATCTTATGACAGTAGACATCAGAGTCTTACCAGTGGGTGAGCAGAGAATTTGGGGATTGATTTGTTTTTGACTGGGCAGGACAAGGAATGGCCAACAGAGGCACGATCGCAAACCTAGCCCAATTGGTCACGTGATGCCCGATAGGATCTTCCTAAGAGTAACCTGTGATCCATTTGCAGGTGACTTCATCCCTTGGGCTTGCAAGAGGGCCTGCTGTTGAGGAGCATCATGAGCTCCGAATTGCCGTAGGGGCCCCAATGGTATCCGAACCTGAATCTTGATCACAGAAAGCAAATTCACCTAGTGATTCAGAGGACCTTGCGAGTGGCCCCAGAAGATCTTTGGAAGAGGCATCCAGGGATTGAGTTGAATGGCACTTTTGACATCAGAGTCGTTCAGAGATGGTGCGTGTGAATTGTCAAACACTGAAACTTGATTAACGGCCTTCCTTTATATCGTGCATCTACGTCAGGTTCAGTCCACGGCGGCAGTGGAAACCACTGATCGAGCCCAAGCCGCGGTCGAGCCAATCCGGTGTACAGAAGGCCCATCCGAGGCCGAAACATCCGAGCATCCGTTTGCAGCATCCGACCTTTTGCCTGAGTTCATCGAAGGGGATTATGATTTCTTGGCGGAACCTGGGGATCAAGAAGACTATCTAAGAGAGATCCGTCACTTAGAAGACACCGCTGAAACTCCAGATTTATATGAGCCTTCGGAATCATTCCCTGATCAAGTGTATAATCCACCCATCGATAACCCTAAGGACCCCATAGATCAGAATTCCTGGAAGAGGTATGCTACATCGGAGTGGGTAACTTCTGAAGTCAAAAGGGTTAAGCAAGCTGGATTGATGGATTTAAGATCATCTTTTGCTCTTGACAGCCCATCCCAAACGCTGTCGATGATGTTCCAGTTGCCTGCCGAAAGCATTGCACTCCTGCAAACATCCCCGGAAGCAGAACACCAGAGCCAAGATTCCGTAGTGGCAAATCAGAGGTTAGTTCATGCTCGGAGGACCAGGATAATGAGGTCCGATGATGACCTGAGAGACGCAAGCATCGCAAAGTTGAAGCACATCATCCTTCTGGATCCTGCTGCATCCCGGTTGGGGGAACTGTTAGTCCCAACTTCCTCGCGACCGATGGACGAAGTGGACATCCGTAGGTCGTTAGATCAAGCCTTCAGCCGCAAATCATCCAATACTCTTTACAAGAGAGCCTGTGCCCTAACGCGGTACGTAAGTTGGTTTGATAGGCTTAATCATAGAGGTTCACCCTTGAGATTGAAGGAATTTGACATCTATAGCTACCTCGGCCATTTAGAAAGTGAGAGGGCGGGACCAACAGCAGCATCAGGATTCATAGAAGCGTTGAGATTCCTGGACTCAGTAGCAGTGTTAACCTTTGCCAACCTCGACTTGGTGTTGTCACCTCGAGTGACAGGGTTTGCCTATCAACAGTATCTCAGGAAGGCCCCTCTTAATCAGAAAGACTCAATCCCGTGTCTACTGATTGCTGCGATGGAGAGGCTCTTGATGAAGAAAATTGACAAAGTTCAGGTGTGCGTGCTGGGCCAACTGTTGTGGTGTTTTCATGCAGCGAGCCGGTGGTCAGACAGTCTCCGGATCCAGTCTCTAAAACTGGAGAAAGCACAGGGTGCATCACTGGTCACAGGTGAAGCTCTAGGATCGAAGACATCGGTGACAAAAGAGGCTCAAACCCGTCTCCTGCCCTACGCTGCAATAGGCACCGGAGTGAGTGGAGAACCTTGGGCAGAGAAGTGGATCAATTCGAGGGCAGAGGAGCTTGGACGGGAGCCGGATCCTTTCCTACCCGCATTCAGTTGCAAAACGGGAAGATGGTCAACCACTCCAATGTCTAGCTCAGAAGCCACGGGTTATCTTCAGGATTTCATCAATGAATGCCTGCCTCTGCCTGATTTGAAGATTGATCTCAACAAGATAGGTACCCATTCTCTCAAGACGGGTTTGCTCACCATGGCCGCCAGATCGACATCCATCAAATTTTCGATGTCAGAACGCAGAACTCTTGGACATCACATCAAGCCATCAGACAGGTCTGTCCTCACATACTCGAGGGAAGCTTTCACCAGCCTATATGCCAAGGTGCTGGCGTGCTTTCAGCAGATCCAAGCAGGATCCTTTCGCCCTGACTCGACAGCTCTTGAACGGATTATGGATGCTGCAACAATAAATGGTCTCAGGGTTGCCAGCTCATCCGGAAGTTCTGCAGCCCACCTGTGAGGTGCCGGACGAAGCAGATCCATGGGAGATTTCGTCAGAGTCCAGTGAGGAGGACCAAGCCCTAGTTGGAGTTTTGAGCAATCAGGAAGAGGTGCAAGGCAGAAAACCCTTTCCAAGTGAACAGGAGGTAGATTGCATCGTCCACAGGAAGAGTGGCATTGTCCATGCCTTGCAACCGTTGGGAGACTACACGTTGTGCGGTCGTCCAGTGACCGGGAACTACGTAGAGTTACAAAAAGCCGACACCGAAGACATGGAATGCTGCATCCTTTGCGGCCGCCAACTAGGAGTAGCAGCTAAATCGAGCTGAACATGCGACGATAGAAAAAAGGAGCGCGACCTCAGTTTCAGTCACATCAGAGTGAAAGATGTCAACTTTGAAGAGTCACTTACATGTCAACATAAATGTTTCAAGCTTAACCAGGATCAGCAGAGATCAAGTTTTATGTCAAGAAGGAACATGGAAAGGGACTCACAAACTGCGATATATCGAAACGATTAGACGTGATCAGCAGAGATCGAGTCTAGTCTCAAAAGTGTTCACCAGAGTTCCTTTTGGCTTTCAGCAGTTTAAATCTGATACCAGAATCGCTCTATCCAATATCCGCAATGTTGGCACTTGAGATTCAGTCCTTTATGGTCATGATCTACACCTGGATGGGGGATGATCCAACGGGCCAAAATCGGTTTGACTGCCAGGAAAAATTGGAGAGCTTGGCCGAATGCATCAGCAGGGTGATCCGACACCTGGGCTTGAGCAATTTGACCGAGCACCTGGGCGACTTGTGGGTGAATACCCGAAGGGCATTATGCTCCTTCAAAGGAGTCAAACTGGAAGCGTCTGCTGACATATCCATATCGGCGATTGGGGCCATTCCTCATCGGACAAGAGGCTTTAGGGCCCTAAGGGAGCTGGACCATTGCATTCTCCAAATTGAGCTGGAAGAAGCCTATGAGACCGTGCAAGAGTTGATTCTGGCTTGTGATCCAGGAACTCAGTTGGAGACATCCATGCAGTTGATTTTTGACACCATGGAGGATATGATGATTATCATCAGCGCGCCCATCGACCTTAGACCTGCCGATTAATAGGACTCGGACATCAGTCGTGATCAGCGGCGAGGAAAAAGTTGAGGCAGCTCGGCTGACCAGCGAGGCTGAAGATGTTGGCATCAGAGCCGCACTGCAAAGTCAGATAAATTTAAGACAGATTGCAGTCACAATGAGCATGAAATCAGATTCAAGTTCATTGTGCATGGCCGCAGCCCAATTTTTGGGAACAATTTTCCATCACCAGGTTTGAAAGAACAACCAAGAATAGACTTTACATGTATCTTCAAACAAAATGTTCATCAGAGAGCATTGCACACGTGCATGCCACACCACAACTAGGCAGACAGGATGCCCTCCTGACATTCGACAGAGATAGGATAAACTATTCTCCACATACAACTTATATTAACAGCAAGATCCAATTACGTCTGACAGCCATGTCCGTTCTTGACAGCAAAGCTGCTTTTGCAGACAGGCTAAAGCAATTGGGAATCGAAGATGCCCTCAAGGGCGAGTTACAAGACAGAGGGTTTGAAACCTTCGGATCCCTGGCATTCGCAGTATCCACAACTCTGCAGCAGATCACAGATGCAGTGTTAGAAGCCTGGCTGCTCAAGGTCACCACCCGAGACCTAAGCCCATATCAAACATCTTGTGTGAGACGCTTAGTGGTGGAGAGTCACGCATTAGCATTGAACGACCTGCAGCGCAAGGTGGATCAACCATCGGACCCTCAATTAGCAGCAAGAAAACTTCCAGTTGCAGAGCGTCAAAGTCGCCAGACAGAGCAGGAGCAGCGACTGCAAGGATTGATTTTCAGTCCAGAAATCATCCCGAGCCATGCCTTAGTGGATACATGTGTCAACATGGTGGAGCAAGGAGTTCTTTCTTGGATCAAGCCCGAGGATTGCACTTCCAGAGCACAGGAAATCCAGTCACTCAAGAGAGACCCCAAAGTTTCTTTAGATGCAGCCGGAAACTTGAAGATTAGCTCGAAGACCATGAACAGCACATGCACCATTAGCTCAGAGTTGGATCTACGTAATGCCTTCCAACGCCGATCCCTTGCCATGGATCAAGCAAAGTTGTGCTCTTTTACAGAGATTGAACGCTGGGTTCAGCATTTGTTTCTGTCACACGAACGAGCTCAGCCATCGGGATTTGCGTCCGTGACCTTGCAACAGATCATCGAGTGTGACAAGCAAATGTTCATCCGTGCATCCAATGCCTTAATAGGATCCTTGCAAGCCGAACCGGGGGTCGCAGTGACCCCCTTGGATAAAGAGCTCGCAACACTCCGCACTTCCCCAGAGCTCATGCCATACCTCATGCCCATGCCAATGAAATCTATGCCCAAAGCAGGAGCTCCTAAGCCAGATAAGAGGCAGCAACCGGATTATGAAGACCGTCCAAACAAGTACCAAAAAGGCAAAGGCAAGGGCAAAAGCAAAGGCAAAGGAAAGTCCAAAGGGTCCAAAGGATCCTCGTCGGCGATCGACATTCCACAGGGCTGTGTTGCAAAAACCCCAGATGGAAAGCCTTTGTGCTTCGCATACAACAAAGGCATCTGTGGATTTCGCGGGTCTGGGCCTCGTTGTCAGAGAGGCTATCATCTCTGCTACAAACAGGGATGCCATAAGCCCAAGCCATATCATGAGTGCAGTCACTCCAAAGAGTGACAATCACAATCCAGCGAAGGCAAGGAAGATCAAACCATTCATCCTTTGCCTTCCACAGTTTCACCTCAGCAACCGTTTGCCGTCGAAATCTGTTGTGGGAAAGCATGCTTGTCCAGAAGTCTGATTGACGCAGGTTTTTCCTTACTAGCTGTGGATCATATGCTTCATGACCCCCAAGTGCCAGTCACCCTCTTGGATTTGACACAGGTCCAACATCAGAAGATCTTAATTGATCTTTTGCATAACCGACCACCAGACTATATTCATTTGGGTATGCCATGCGGCACTGCATCCCGAGCCCGGGAAAGGCCCGTTGCCAGGGATAAAATTCTCCAGGGAGCACCACAGCCTCCGCCCCTGCGATCAGCCGATTACCCACGAGGCCTTCCCCACATTAATCCAGATAGCACATCCGGCATAAGACTGAGCAAAGCAAACCAGTTGTACAGATTTGTCATTGACATCCTTGTAATTGCTCAGAAATACAACTCAGTGATTAGCTTGGAAAACCCTTACCGGTCTTGGTTTTGGGCAGCCATTTTGGCATATGTACAGGCTCAAAACGATCCTCAATTAGTCAAGTTTTGGGATTCTCTTGCTGAGGTATTTTTTCATAATTGCTGCCACGGGGGTCAGCGCAAGAAAGGCACCCGTTGGAAATCCACTCCAGGAGTTTTCGCCCATCTCGAAGCCACATGTGCTGGTGATCACGAACACCTGCCATACCAGGTTCAACAAACCAACGGCAGCTGGTCATTCGACACAGCGGCCGAAGCAGCTTACCCTGAGTTGCTGACACGTCGTGTGGCAATGGCTGTCAAAAACTTTCTTATGCAACGAAACTTGATTTTTAGTCCACCCCCTAATCCAAGAATCAAGACCCTGGCGGTCCAACATCGCCAGCATAAGAAAAGGAGCCAGCTCATCCCTGAGTTTTCCACAACAGACTGGCATCCGAACACATATAAACTCTCAGAAAACCAAAAATTGATCCCTTCTTCCAGCAGGGGGGAATACCAAGAAGGTGATCAGACACAGACAACCACTGGAGAAATCCTTGTGGGGACATGGCACACCCCGGAACAATTTGTAAATAAAGCTCTGCACTCTCCGCACCCGATGGAAGAGAATGCCTTGCACAAAATTACAAATGATGCCATAGAGTTTGTTGCCAAGAGCTCTTCAAGATTAGTATCCATAGAGAGGAAAAAGAACCTGTTAAAGGCAAAAATTCTGGCTAGGCAATTGGAAAGCCAGGAAAAAGAACTCCACGCTAGCCTCCCAACATCAATTCAAAAAGTGGTTCAGGACAAGAAGATCTTGTTGTGGGAGAAACTACTTGAACTCAACAATTATGATGACATGGAAGTAGTCCACTTCATGAAGGAAGGGGTCCCCCTTGTAGGAACCCATGATCACCCCTCTTGCTATGCTATGAAGCTTAAGCTAGCCTCTACCACGGAGGAGGAGCTCCGAGACTCGGCAGTACCATCCCGGTTGGCCCTCGAGATGAGGAGGCCACAGACGGACTCCCCGGGATTTGCAGAGCACTTGGAATCCACGGCTCAAGAGGAGGTGGATTTAGCTTTCCTAGAAGGCCCCTTCCACTCCGCGGAGGAAGTCACCAACCTGTTGGGGCACTCAAAATGGAGAATCATGAGAAGGTTTGTAATTGAGCAGGGAGCAAAGCTGAGGCCTATAGACGATGGGTTAGAAGCTCAACTCAATTCTGCGTACACATCCACTATAAGACTAGACCTGCAGGATGCGGATTACGTTGTAGCCATGGCACTGAAATTGGGCAAACACAAGGGACTGAACTGGGTTGGTAAAACCCTGGATCTTTCAAAAGCTTACAAGCAGCTTCCCATCAGGCCCGATCATAGGGACCTAGCTGTTGTGTTTTTCAGAGACTCCCAAGGCAAGCCTAGGTACTATGTCCCCAATGCCCTATGTTTGGCTCCACAGCCGCCGTGTACGCATTTAACAGGGTGAGCAGGTCCATTTGGTTCTTGGTGAACGTAGTTCTCAAGGTACCTTCTGCGGTGTACTTCGATGATTATCCCATGTTCTCGCCTGAGGGTTCTTCTCAAGACACTGATGCCCTGGTGTCGGATTTCTTGGACTTGTTGGGTTGGCGTCACGACAGGACGGGCCCCAAGGGAAAGCCCTTCTCGCCATCCTTCGATGTCTTGGGTATGACTTTAGATCTGAGTAACTTGGAATCGACGGGACACCTCACCTTGAAAAACAAAGAAGGCAGGGTTGAAAAGATAGCGGCCAAAGTACTGCAGATCCAGCAATCGGGCCAAATGTCTCTTCCAGAGGCTCAAGAGATTCATGGGTTGCTAAGCTTTGCCACAGGGTACTTTGCGGGGAGGTCTTTGAGATACAGTTGTTTCAAAATTTTCTCCTTAGTGGGCAAAGGTCAGAGCATGGCTGAACCAACACAGGACTGGTGCTGTGACGTCCTGGTGTTGCTGGAAAATACCAGACCACGTACCATCCCAGTGGCTATCAATTCAAAAACCATCCTGATCTTTACAGACGGGTCGTGGGAAGACGGATTTGGGGGCCTTGGAGCCGTGCTTCTTGATGAATCTTCGGGCTCACGAGTCGTCGTTCAAGATCAGGTGCCAGAAGGGTTGTTGTCCTTGTGGAAGGGACTGGTTAGAGATCAACTGATCTGCCAAATAGAGCTGTTGGCGATGGTCCTTGTGAGATGGCAATGGAAACATGAACTCCATAACCGTAAAGTGCTTCTTTTCGTAGATAATAACTCTGCTAGAGGGGGCACTGTGAAAGGAAGATCGAGTAGTCCCACCATGGACGATTTGATCAAAGCCTTCTACTCGATAGAGGTTCATTTGCCATCTTTCTGGTGGATAGAGAGGGTCCCTAGCAAAAGCAATCCAGCTGACGAACCCTCACGCATGGAGGGCCGAGCAGCAGCCGATCGCTGGGGAGCCACCTTTGTGAATGGATTTTCGTGCCTTGACACAGTATCAACTTGGCCATCCCAGGCAGCAGCAAATCGAAAAGATCCCAAGCAGAAGGGCCCGGTTTAATATAAGGGGGTAAGTTGGAAACCGATCCAACCAGTTCCATGCTTCATCACAATCCAATCAGATGGACTTGAACGCGAGCTTGGAAGACATTGTACAGGCCAGTAACGAGATGCCGATCATCTCAACCGTGACATTCCCCCGATCTGACAAAAAGAGTGCTGCGCAGCTTGGGTTTTCTGATGTTGTAACTTGAACAACAGCATGCTAATTGCAGAAGCAAGATCAGTAGGATTTTTGGGTCAAGGAACAGGGACAAGAAGGGCGTTTACACAACGTGGATAGTACTTTCTTGGAACTGTGACTTGAATTTATTTCATGTACACATACATGAAATTTCCCAAAAATCCTAAACTGATGTATGGCAAATTCAAATGACAAAAGATCTGAGCGTTTGAGTTTAACCATGTCGAAGAAACATAGATCGATAAGTAAAAGCTGTCAAGTCATATGAGAAAAATCTTCTTGCATCAAACATGTGAAATTGGAGTGATTTTATGAATGACGTGATATTTGGCTTAAAATCCTTCATCAGAGAAGGCAAGCAAGGCAACGGAGCCTCTCATGTTTCTATCCATGTTCACAACTGTTCAAACAAATGTACAACAGATTGTCTTGAACATGGTCATCAAAAAGTCAACTCCACTTTCAATCACCTTCAATTTGAAGATTTTTCTTCCCGCCCTCCCTCTCCAACAGGGGGGGTAAGTTGGAAACCGATCCAACCAGTTCCATGCTTCATCACTCAATCCAATCAGATGGACTTGAACGCGAGCTTGGACGACATTGTACAGGCCAGTAACGAGATGCCGATCATCTCAACCGTGACATTCCCCCGATCTGACAAAAAGAGTGCTGCGCAGCTTGGGTTTTCTGATGTTGTAACTTGAACAACAGCATGCTAATTGCAGAAGCAAGATCAGTAGGATTTTTGGGTCAAGGAACAGGGACAAGAAAGGAGAGCCAGGTACATGACGAGATGAAACGGCCGAAGTGTCGGACCCAGATCTATGGACACTGACGCAGTATGACGAAAACCCACAGGAACTCTGAGATGAACCTGAGAGAGGCCGCCTCCGCACCAAAGAAACTAGTTATATATATATATATATGCATGTTCATGCATGTGAAACAACATATATGCCACTTATCACTGTCAATGTTAATTGCTATCAATTTAAAATAGGGGAGGAAAACAGAGCAAATAGTATATAAATAGTATTAAAATGTTATGCAATGCTATCAATTTAAAATAGGGGAAGAAAACAGAGCAAATAGTATATAAACAAATATTAAAATGTCACTGTCAATGTTAATTGCTATCAATTTAAAATAGGGGAGGAAAACAGAGCAAATGGTATATAAATAGTATTAAAATGTTATGCAATGCTATCAATTTAAAATAGGGGAGGAAAACAGAGCAAATAGTATATAAAGAAGTATGAAAAAGTCACTGTCAATGTTAATTGCTATCAATTTAAAATAGGGGAGGAAAACAGAGCAAATAGTATATAAATAGTATTAAAATGTTATGCAATGCTATCAATTTAAAATAGGGGAGGAAAACAGAGTAACTAGTATATAAATAGTGTTAAAATGTTATGCAATGCTATCAATTTAAAATAGGGGAGTAAAACAGAGCAAATAGTATATAAATAGTATTAAAATGTTATGCAATGCTATCAATTTAAAATAGGGGAGGAAAACAGAGCAAATGGTATATAAAAAAGTATTAAAATGTCACTGTCAATATTCATTGCTATCAATTTAAAATAGGGAGAAAAACGGGGAGCAAATGGTATATAAAAAAGGTAGTAAAAATGTCACTGTCAATCTTCCTCACCAAAGTCTTCATTGTACCATTCATTTTTATTAGTGTTCTCCCACCTACTTGTGACTTTTATCACTAGTCACTAGGTTTTATCCGTTTTCCCCAACTACTTGTTCATTTTATCATTGGCGTTCATCATTTTGCCCATCCATTCCTTGATTTTATCATGAGATTTCAATCAGGTTTCCCCACCTATTTGTTCATCTTCTCACTCGGTTTCATCTGTTTTCCCCACCTCCTGGCTCATTTAATCACTGGATTTCAGTGGTTTTCTCCATTTCTTCCTTTTCTCCGAGGATTTCATCATGTTCCCGTCCTATTGCAATGTGTGTATTCTGCATTATCTTTTCAAGTATCTAAAAACTTGTTGCTGAATGACATAGAGAGAAGGATATTATAAGACTCGAATACATTCTGGATACAAATCCCAGAAGGAAAATATCCGAGCATTTTGATTCTGATGGTTCTCCATTTCAAAACGACCACAAAAATCACAGATAGAAAATTATTCATGTGTGCCGTGAAACTGTTTCCAATGGAAAATGGTGGATCTTTCCATATTTTCCCATGAAAAATTGTGGATCTTTCCATATTTTCCCGAAATTGGTGGGAAAAACTGATGAAATCAAATGATAACATGCACCAACAGGTTGGGAAAACTTTGGAGAACTGAAAAAAAACTGTAATGATCAACTGGAGAAATAGATTGGGAAAACTTGGAACAGCTGATGAAACCAAATGATAAATGAACAAATAGGTTGGCAACAGTTTTTTGATAAATTGATCAAATAGTTTTGGAAAACTGATCAGACCTTTTATAAAATGATCAAATAGGTGAGGAAAACTGATGAAATCTCCTGGTGAACTAATGGAAAAACGGAAAAATACTGATCAACATGTACTACAGCATGGAGAAATAAGGTGTGAACATATTTTTATATATATATAAATTCAGTTATTTATATATATATATATAAGGTCCTCCACCCACATAGAATATGGAATTGAAATGTTTGCTTCCCGGGGCATCCCCAGAATTGAACTTGAAACAAGATACTTAGAATATTTTGTTGCTATATATATATATATATGCATGTTCATGCATGTGAAACAACATATATGCCACTTATCACTGTCAATGTTAATTGCTATCAATTTAAAATAGGGGAGGAAAACAGAGCAAATAGTATATAAATAGTATTAAAATGTTATGCAATGCTATCAATTTAAAATAGGGGAGGAAAACAGAGCAAATAGTATACAAAAAAGTATTAAAAAAGTATTAAAATGTCACTGTCAATGTTAATTGCTATCAATTTAAAATAGGGGAGGAAAACAGAGCAAATGGTATATAAATAGTATTAAAATGTTATGCAATGCTATCAATTTAAAATAGGGGAGGAAAACAGAGGAAATAGTATATAAAAACGTATTAAAATGTCATTGTCAATGTTTATTGCTGTCAATTTAAAATAGGGGAGAAAAACAGAGCAAATGGTATATAAAAACGTATTAAAATGTCACTGTCAATGTTAATTGCTGTCAATTTAAAATAGGGGAGGAAAACAGAGCAAATAGTATATAAATAGTATTAAAATGTTATGCAATGCTATCAATTTAAAATAGGGGAGGACAACAGAGCAAATAGTATATAAAAAGTATTAACATGTCACTGTCAATGTTAATTGCTGGCAATTTAAAATAGGGGAGGAAAACAGAGCAAATGGTATATGAAAAAGTATTAAAATGTTATGCAATGTTAATTGCTGTCAATTTAAAATAGGGGAGTAAAACAGAGCAAATAGTATATAAATAGTATTAAAATGTTATGCAATGCTATCAATTTAAAATAGGGGAGGAAAACAGAGCAAATGGTATATAAAAATGTATTAAAATGTAACTGTCTATCAATTTAAAATAGGTGAAAAAAACGGGAGGAAATAGTATATAAAAAAGGTAGTAAAAATGTCACTTTTTATATCAATTGCTATCAATTTAAAATAGGGGAGGAAAACAAAGCAAATGGTATATAAAAAAGGTATTAAACTGTTATGAAATCATCTCAAAACGTTTCTATCTGTCATTTTTCTGGTTTCGGGGTCCGACGGGGAAAAAAAAATCAAAAAAAAATCATCTTAAATTTTGGGATTGAAAAGTGTGTTCAACATATATATATATATATATATACGCGAAATGCCTTTTGAGTTCCCCGTCGGACGAGCTGCGATGAAAATGTCAAGATTACGTATATATATATATGTATATGGTTTTGTGATGTTTTTGATCCCCGTTTTTTAACATTTTGTTCTATCTGTGGTTTTTTAGGCATAAAAAGGTGACAAAAACGTATATATATATATACGTAAACTTGAGTTTTTTTCACAAAACGTTTCTATCTGCTAGATCGCACTCGGCGTTCTATGTGTCATTTTTCTCACTCGTAGTGATTTCTGATTTTTCTATCTGCAAGATCGTGACTATACTCCACTTGCATCCCAGTCTATTTTACATGTTCAGATGTCAGTTCACAGTCATGACATGTCAATGGACACATGTCTGAACCCATGCGTA